TATCAAAGACCGATAAAAATGTTTAAAAATATTAACTTACCCAAACTTCTTTTCGATTGGGCCGAAATGATTCAAATTGAGTGGGTGTTATAGTCATAATATAATAATGTGTTCGTCTTCGACGTTGTTGTCTCGGACCAATTTGTGGATATTTCTTGATAATTACACCACCATTTTCATGTATGTGAAGAGCAGAACTTATGTCATTGATACCAGTCTCTTCTTGAAACTAACAATAATCAATAGATAAGATTTAAATATGAACAACATGGTGTAACCTTACTTCACGAAAACCTCCCATTCTAATCGTTTCACCAAGATTAGGCTTTCCTTTAGGAAATCCGTAATTGAAACGACCATTTTCAATAAATGAAATCAGTAAAACCTGGAAAATATATCTATGAGTTTTTCATATGTTCATAGTTTCACAAAAGAAACATACTTTTTCTGCATCCACTTCATTAGTTGAAATTGCAATGACACCAACTCTTGGTCCCCAATGTCTTTCATTAGCCCATTCTTTCCAAATATAATTGGCACAGCGTATACGTATTTTTGTAATAGCTGATGTACAGAGTTTATAATTAGATGGTTGTTTATCATACTCTAAAAACATTTTTATACATTAGACTGCTTTTTTAGAAGAAAATTGATAATTACCTGAATCATTATTGTCAACGAGTTTATTTTCAGAGATTGGACGATAATCCTGCTCTCGGCATATGATATGTTGCATTATCAAAATCTCTTAATAAAAAGAAATACGATGAGTTTCACTGTGTTCGAACAAATTAACCTACCTTGTACAGCAAACTGTTTCCGAGTGGCTCTTGTAGCCTGTATGCGAAGTTTTCCTGTATCGATGGCATCATAGAAACGATCATCCATTGTCGATAGTTCATGAAGCATTCGTTCATATGCGTCTTGTATGCTTATATGCGTTATAGATCGAATAAATCTTTGTGAATCTTCCAAATAAAACCAATGCTCTATACATCTATATTGTTGCAAAAAAAAGATAAAAATTAGAGATAATGCAAAAAAACTGTTGATTAGAATTCAAATTTTACCTTTTAATGTTATTTTCACATTGTTGCGATAATGAGTAATATTTTTTTCGATTGGAAATCATTTTAGTTTATTTTTGTTTTATGAGAAGAATAGAATTGCTATTGTGTTTTGATTAAATCAAATGAAGTGAACAATCGACACAACAGAATATATATGCCGTTGAAATTGTGAAATCGTGTCAGGTAAGAAATAATATGTTGGATTATTCCAACTGCGATTGTTTGTATTCGTTGTTGCGAATTCTTTTAGGAAGAAATCAACTACTTTAGATGCACGAAGATTGTATAATTTCTGCGTCACTAAAGGAATGAAGAAGTAACATCAATAACATCAACCAACCAGACATGTGTAATTATTTTGCCTTTAACAACAGTTAATTACAAATCTCCAAAAATTAATTTCACTATAAGATCTTCGGAAAACAAGAGCTATGGTACACATGAAATATTAAGCATCATATGAGAGGATTGTTAGACTGATTTTTAGTGGTTACATAGTTGGTAAACAATAATATTGAATGATTTTTATGCATTTTTTTCTTCTAACGTTGAAAACAGGCTGTTGGAAGGTAATAAACCGTACAGAACGAGAAAAATTTTCAATCAATAATCTTCACACACCAAATAGCAGTTTCAAAGAATACAACGCTATTCTTTCATTTGCTTTCTTTTTTCTAGTGTTGAAATCATATCAGATATGCGACTGCTTTTATATTTTAGCAAGTGATTTTTATTTTGAGAATACTCCTTTGGCAATAATAACCAATGATAGACTAAACTTCGTTGATAATTTCTTGACACGATATGATCTACACACATGATGATGAGAGAATATTTTCAAGCCTTAGAGCAACCTGACATATTAATCGAACTGATCTACTGAAAATACATATATGAACAATATTTTTGTGTCTGATTATTTTCTGATGTTGATGACAAGAATAAAGCATTCAATGTCAGTTGTATTGAGATGATATGAACAACATCATCCGATGATAGAAACTACCTTGGGTGTGGGGGTGGGTGTGGGTGTGGGTGTAGGTGTAGGTGTGGGTGTGGGTGTAGGTGTGGGTGTGGGTGTGGGTGTGGGTGTGGTTCATACAATGGGCTATTTAATTTCAGTCTGAATTTATCAAATAAAAATAATACTTTATTTCAAACTGAAACGTGAGTCTAGGAGTGAGGGGG